TCTATGATATATCTGTCAACTCAATATCTGCTGAGATATTATGCCAGGAATCAGTTTTTTTCATTCTTCTAAAGCATTTGGCTGTTACAGCAGCATAGTCAGCTGTGTAAGTAACTGAAAGAAAGAAAATACCCTCTCCAGAATAATACATGATGATTGGAAAAGAGATTTTTGAATTGTTTGCTCCAAAGGTTTTGTGATCACGTTGTAACTTAAAAATTCAAAAAATTTAAAGCTTTTCTACTATATTTCAGTTGGAAATAAATATCTTTTATTCCTTGTAGATAGCCAGGTTTGGCGGAAAATTTGTACACCTTCAGTGTTTTGACATCCAGACTTTACTTTGGCACAAGTCTCCATGTCCTTGAACGTCAAATTCTCAATCGAAGACAAGTCTTGAGTCCCATTAGCTGTTAAAAGAAAGATTGTTTTGCTACTATTTATAAAACATTTCAAAAGAATAATCTGTTCTTGTTGTCCTTCAGCAGCATAGCTAAAAATATAAAAACTGTTCTAATGAGACCTTAAATTGCTGTTTAAAAAGTAAAATCTAAAATCCAAGCTTTCGCTGATCAACCGTGTCATCAAGGATCCCTGATGATGCCGTTGATCAGCGAAAGCTTGGATTTTAGATTTTACTTTTTAAACAGCAGTTTAAGGCCTCATTAGAACAGTTTTAAATTTCAAAAAAAAAAATTGAGATAACAGCAAAACTTGCAATAATTACTCATCACTGAGTCTGCCATGTTTGTCTTGTTGGTGCTCACATCAGGAAGTCAAAACTTTGTCAAAAATTTCTTACATTTGTCAAAACTCTCAAAAACATCACAGTATACGAAGCACTGGCAATAAGATATTACACTTGTGAAAGAGAAGGATTAAGATCACTTTAAATGCTATTGAAAGACATGCTTCAATTCAGAGGTAACAGCTGGTTGTCATGCATTGCGGATAATAGCTTGCCAGTCAACATGGCGTTGCTATGGGGAGATTGGTCACATGATCAACTCCTGCAAAAGGCCTATTCCATTGTCTTCTAGTAAATGTATGTTGATAAAGACATGTAACAGAAGTGTAACTAATATATGTTTGAAAAAAAACCTACTAACTTGTGTTTCTTTGATCAACACCTCACAATATTGATTGATTTTAACTTATCTATTCATGAGACTTCGTTAGCTTTTGTTGGGACAAAATCCTCTGCCATGTACCACTGAATATAAAATGCCATCATAGTCTTCTGATTTTTGATGTTTTATTTAACAATGGAAGAAGTGTTTTCAGATACAACTATGGCTATCTTTGTAAAAGACAACAGCTTTCCCTTTGATTTCGATTGTTCACTGAAATGTCTTTTTTCTGAGAACATCCTTGTCACCGCAGAATTATGCACGACTTGAGTAATTGGGAAAACTGTCACACATCATATCAAAGGGGTCACATGAAATCAAAGGTGCACACTAGAAGTTGGCTGCCAGTACAGAGACTTAATATATAAGGTGATGCCTGGAGCAAACTGCTCAATATTTGGGTGTAGCTTGTCATGAAAGCCAAAATACTAACATGTAGGGTGAATATCTCACCCTACATATTGATGATAGAACCAAACCTACAGTTCCTTCAGTCTGTAAACTCTGTTGATAGTCTTAAGTTGAGTGGTTGGACTAAATCAACAAAACAAGATAACAGGTCTACAGCGTTCAGCATGTTTGATGATATTCACCCTCTGCCAAAGTACCAAGTAACTGTGGATTTAAGCCTGGGGTTTAGTGTTTCAATATATAGTTGGTTTCTTCTTCACAACCACCCCATTTACTTAACGCAAAAACGTTCAGTCAGATTTACCAGGGCTTTTCTACTGTTGTCACAAGTTTGAGAATTTCAGCTCTGTGCTGGTCCTTCCAAGTTTGATAGCAAAATTCAGGATCCTGTTGCAACATTTAGGCTCATGTGGCACTCAATACCAAAGAATTTCTTTGGACTTTGAATCATCACCTGCAATGCAGGTGATGGTATATGAGAGACATAACAGCTGTCTAGTCATATCAGATACAGACCAGTGTTCAGAGCGTTAGATAGCAGATGCTGCTGAATCAAAGAGGCTGCAACATTATTGCTATTGTGGCATGTCATGTGGTCACCGTCTCATGATCATCATCATTACAATGAAAGAGCTGTCGTAAACACTCTCGGCTGTGTTTCTACCCTTTCATTTTTGTGTTGGACACCTCCACCTCGTGGAGATTCATAAGTTTCTGGAGACTGTTGAGATGTTTGCATGGGAAGTGGGTCAAGAAGAAGCCAATCAAAAGCAGCGAAGAAATGCAAGATGTGCTTTCCTATTGCAGAATTCACCAAATGGAGGGCTTAGCTCAGGACAGAATATCTTTCCAAATCAAAGGAAATTGGTGCTTTAAAGAAAAGTGTTCAAAGACTTCAGGACAAGGTAATATTAAAATGAACAAGTTTTATTTCTGCAAAATATATTAACTGTACCCGGGAACAGGACAAATGTTGTCATCAGCATTTAATCTTTTACCCCTGCCCTACTTTTCTACCTGTTTGCCATGGAATCCTTGCGATGAACGGTCACTGCTTGTCTGGGATTCTTTCCGAGCCCATCTGACAGAGTCGGTGAAAGCAGACCTACAACGGCGCAAGATCGACGTAGCTGTTATTCCAGGGGGCCTGACTCCAGTCATGCAGCCATTAGACAAATGCCTCAACAAACCATTCAAGGACAACATGCGGCGAAAGTACCTTAACTGGATGATGACAGGTCCCTTCGAGTACACGCCAGTACATCGTTCTCTTTTAATGAACAAATGTTTTCTCTACAGAATTGCTATTTCAACTTAGACTAGGTTTACATTAGAGGAGATTCTTCCAGATTCCATTTTAGAGTTAGTGGATTTGTGGACATTTACACATCAAGTTAATCCAGATTCCCAACCATTTACACACATCAACTAATCCACAAACTTTCTTGATTGGTTGGCTACAAAGCTGTTTCTTGCCTTGACCAATGACAACAAAATGCCGTCAAACATGACTAGAATTTAATCTAGACAAATAGTAAAATTGAACTTCTGCTAGGAGTTGCTCATGCATATTCCTGCTGAAAAATTCCTTCACTTCTTGCTCTCTGATAGGTAGACATGGATATATTGAGCTTATGTATTCAGCAATTGTAGCAAAAACTCCTCTGAAACTTAGGGAAACCATGTAGTAAAGAGTGACAGCCACTTGAGGCAAGACCAATATGGGTTGCTTCAATTTGGCTGATCCTTTCTCACATGGGGCATAAGATCACACAGGGGCATAAGATCTTCAGAAAGTTTCATATGGCATCACCCAGAATTCAGCGACATATCCAGGACTTTCAATGAGACACAAGCGCTAAATCTAGAAGCTAATTAGAAAACGATTGTCAAGCAGTAGAGGAAAAGGGCTGAAAATGTAGAGGAAGGCTTATATTCTATTATTATTAGTAGCACACAACTTCAAAGGTTATGACAGGTACTTCATTCTCGAAGAACTCTACAATCAACATGTCACCAATCTCACGCAAATCGTCAATGGAGCCAAGATTCTCAGTTTAGAATTAACCAACGTGAAATTCATCGACTTCATGAACTTTTTCCCCATGGCTTTGTCGAACTTTCCAAAACATTTGGAATTCATGAATTAAAGAAAGGCTTTTACCCCCATTTCTTCAACACCCAGCAATATCAAAACTATGTTGGGTACATGCCTGACAAATCTTACTACGACCCTGACGGTATGTCCACAGCGCGCAAACAGGAATTCCACAAGTGGTACGATGAAAAAGTATCTAAAAGATACATTTTCAATTTTCAACATGAACTCTAAAACTATTGCCAATCAGATGTAAGACTCCTCAAACAGGGGTGTATGACCTTTCAATCCCAGTTCAAAGATATTGTCGACTTCAACCCTATAGAACATTGCATCACCATTGCTTCCGCTTCCAATGTGGCATACCGCAAAAAATGGATGCCTGAAAACAAAATCACCATAGAACCAGTACAGGGATGGCATCCCCGTCACATTCAATCCCATGCTGCTCAAAAATGGCTCTACTGAGAAGAATCAAAACTGACAAAAACCAATCATGTGCCCCGAATTGCTCATGCCAGAAACAAAGGTGAAAGAAGATTGTTCCACGGACAAAAAACATCTCAGGTAGATGGATATGACGAGCAAACAAAGACCTTCTACGAGTTTCAGGGTTGTTTCTTCCATGGATGTATCAATTGCTTTCCCAATCACACCATGAGACACCCTATTAACTTGAACAAAACTATGCGCGATGTCCGTCGAGAAACAAGAACAAGAATCCAACAATTATCCCAATTGGGATACCGTGTCAAAGAAATGTGGGAATGTGAATGGAATCGTATGACACAAGCAGATCCACAACTTAAACAATTTATCTATACACTCCATGTTGCCACACCTCTCAACCCTCGCGAAGCCTTTTTTGGTGGAAGAACCAATGCTATCAAATTTCATCATAAAGTTCAAGAAAACGAAAAAATCCATTACAGCAATATGATTTTGTTGTACCCATGCGCAAATCTAGAATGTGACTACCCCATTGGTCACCCAGAATTCATCGATCAACCCAAGACCACAGACATCTCCAGATATTATGGATTGGTAAAATGTAAAATTTTACCACCCTATGAACTATATCATCCTGTATTACCACACAGATACGACTCCAAACTCCTTTTTCCACTCTGCAGAACATGCGCGGAACAAGGAATGAAGGAAACACTTCTAGAAAGAAGCGAAACCTGCACACATTCCCATAAGGAACGAACCCTCACAAACAAGAAGCTTCAGGATGGCCTCCAGAATGTGACACCGATGAAAAGAAAAGAAACTACTTGAAAGAATACAAAGCGCATGAAGGTATCAAACTAGACTATCGGCGCATCGAAAAGAACCCAAGTCTACATTCCCTCGCCAAATTAATGCTCAATTCTTTCTGGGGAAACTTCGGACAACACCCCAACCAAACCCAAATCACCACATGCACAATAGCCTCTGAATTCTTTCAAATCATCAGGGACAATCGACAAGTCATACATAGAATCAAAATTGTCAACGAACATGTGGTAGAAGTCTACCACTCCTTTCAAGAAGTATGCGATCCAATTCAAACAAACGTGAACATCTTTATTGCCTGC